AAAAATTTCGTTTTTTTCTCATTATTCGTAAACAAAACTTTAAACCCGTACTCCACAGTCGATGCTATAGTATTCGTATAAAAACGGGAAAGATTAACGCTGCCACCCAATCTTGTAATGTATGAAAATTTTAAATTTATTTTTCAAGAAACAAGCTTTAGAAAGATCATCACATACATAAATTCTTGGCCAATTTCAATTTCGAAATGCTCCTAAGCGTGTCCATCTCTTCGTCTATCTATCTGTACCCCTGCCCAACTGTGTAGTATCTGGGATAAACGCACCTCCGTTCACAGAAATAAAGATATCGCCGACAAATTTGCAAAGGAAATTGAAAATCAATTCAACCGGTCAAAAAACACGCCCATAACGCCTACATTCCTATATAAAAAAAACTGTGAACATCTTTGCTTTCTGTGTTTTCCATATTTGTCAGCCATAATCTGCAACACATACTCTTTATAAACCATCCATTCTATATTGGAGAGTACGAAAATTTAATTGATTTCCCTTTTTTTTTTGCTTAGCTTTCCTTATCATAATGGTGATGGGTATAAATGATTCAGTCACGACCGAATATAATTTTCATACTTGTTTTTTGATTGATGGAGTAATTGGGTTGTATTCCTTCCTTCATAAGTGAACGGTTCGAAAGGTTACAAAGAATGGGGTGCGTTATAGAATGATGATAACAAATCTCAGCTCTTGCACGAAAAATTCCGTAGCCATGTAATTAGAAGGAGGGTTTAAAATTAATCCGCAAAATCGAGCGAAATGACGTGCGTCCACCAATACCCACAAACAAAGAATTAGTGAGTTTAAGGTACAGATCAAATAGGACCGTATTTATGTAACGACTTCCAAAGCTTGCAATAGGAGCCATGATGCGTTTCCCTTGCATTTTAATCCGCACATAAATGGGACATTTGTACTTTACCATAAACAAAAACAAACGACTTTATAGTCATAGTATTTTTATAAAAAAAAAAAAAAACCAAGCCCTTTTATTGTGACACCATCTATGTAGCTATCAAAAGCCTCTTATTCCATTTTTCGACATCAACTTTCCACGTTTAAGAAACATTATCCTCTCGCTCTCTTTCTCTCTTTCTTTTGCTCCTATCTCTACTAAAAAATGCTTATTTCTCACTTCTAACGCACGTAGCAGCAATGCAACTCAATTTTAATTTTTTTTTTTTTTAATTTTCCTTTTTATATTTTACATGGAAAATTTGTAAAAAAAAATGTAACATGACAAACTCTTCTCATACATTTCCTTCAAGAATGAATAATATATGATGTGCAAATAATTTTTAAATTCTCATCCATCTATTAAATTACAATACAAGCTATTAATTTTAGACAATTTTCATTAAAAAAAAAGAAAAAAACAAAAAAATTGTTTCGACACTTATATCCGTTTTCTCTCTTCATTTATTATTAATTAATTAATGATACAAACCACGAAATGCATTGATATTATGTTTTAGGGAAAAGAACAAAAAGAAATTACTTTATAAAAAAAAAATAATAATAATAATAATAATAAAAAAGCATATCGTTAATATAAGTAATACTAAGAATTGAAAAATGAAGAAGTAAAGTAATTAGTTAATGTCAATGAGTATCTGAGTATCTCTATAAAATACAACATATGTTTGATCCATGTAATGGCAACGCGAGATAATAACTTAAAATCTGTATTCATTTAAAAAAAAATAAAAATAAAAAATAAAAAAAAAAAATTAAACTTTTTAATCACTAAATCAACTTGGACTGAACTACCTAAACATTTACTTTATCAAAGCCATCTCAATTTCAACAAAAATCAAGTAAACGTAATCTTATAATAATTAGGTTGAATTTGCTCAATGAAAAAATTGACGTTAACCTTAAAGCTTTTTTTTTATCTGACTAAAAAAAGAAAAAAAAAATGTTCACTTCGATTTTAAATTTTATTCTAGAATAATGTAATAATTTTTTTAAATGTTTTTATGTCTTTACAATTAAAAAATGGAAATATGTAACTAATAAAAAAAAATTAATAAATAAAAAAAAAATTTAAAAAAAAAAAAAAAAAAAAAACATGTCAATATGTATAAATTTGCAGTTCTCATAAGCGAAACAAAATAATTATATTAAAAAAAAAAATCAAAAAAAAGAAAGTAAAAATAAAGAAATTCAATATTTACTTAAAAAGAAATTTATTCAGCTAACGGAGTAAAAGATGCAATGACTGCAGCAATTTGTAACTATAACCAAGATATTAATGTAAAAGAATAAAAAAAATAAAAATAAAAAAATAAAAGTAAAGAAATAAAAAAAACAAATCAAATAAATATATTAAAATAAATGTGAAAAGATGAATGTCTCAAAATAGTTTATATTTTACTTAACTTGATTTCCAGTAAGTACTGCTCGATTCCCCGATAAGAGATAAGAATCGGAATACTACGACAATTTTTAAATTTCTTAAATGTAATTTTTTATATAACGTGAATTATTTATTGCAATAAAATAACAGACAAAGTTAATAATGCTAGACTTAATATTCAATAAAAACAAAAAGACAATCCATATGACATATAAATAAAGCAGTAAGAGAGAAAAAAAAAAACCGGTGCACACTTGCAGCGGACACGTATTTGGCGTAAGAGTGTATCACTGGCCCGACGGAAGCTCGATGACCGAATATAGTAAACATATGAAGTTTAATTAGCGAATGATAGGAAGCATTAAAAAGATGACAAAAGGATGACGCGATAGTATTTAAAGAATCGATCACTGAGATTAAAGTATAGACACTTGGACTTGGACTTTTTTAGAGGGACTTGCGTTCAGCTTTATGAAAACAAAGTTTACAGAAATATTGAAATTTATTCCATTTAATAAGAGTTCGAGTTAATAATTACATTAGGAAGTAAGCACATGCGATAATTTACGTTTCTCTGGCGAAGATGAGAATTCAAAATAGTACAATTTATTTTTATAAGATAGCAAAGAGACTAGGCAAGTCGCAGAGCGAAGAGCACGAATTGTTTCTATTGAAAGCACACCGTAGATCAGAAGCTTACCCAAATTTCGATCTTACCAGTTTCAATCATCGAGCTCTCCGAACCATGGCTTAATAATGCTTAGCATCTATGTGAAGACTCGAACTTAGTCGTGCCTCGAACAACAAACGTAATTCAATCAATTATGTCAATGAATAAAGTCAATAAAATATCCAATAGTAAGTGCATTTCTCCTTAAGAATGAAAACTTTTTGCGTTATTATTATTGGGGATACTTTGGGAATTTTGGGTCATTTTGTTTTTTTCCGTAATATATGTAACATCCAAAAGGAACTTCAGAGACTCAACAAAATCTATATATTCTTGATCAGCATAAAATTTGGAGTTGATTTAGCCCTGTCCGTCCGTCTGTTTGTCTGTGTGGCGTGTGTTGTTCGCGCTCTCCTCAAACATTCGTAATACCCAAAAAGAAGCTTCAGAGACCCCATAAAGTTCTTCCTGATCAACATGAAATTCTGAATTGACTAAGCTATGTCAATCCGTCTTTGTGTCTGTGTGGGGTTTGTTATTAGCACTCAACTGGTTGCATAAATGAAAACATCGTAGAAACATTGGAAGTTTCTACACGCCGGTTTTTATTGAAAATGGCGCCAAATTGGTCAGAGCAGAAGCGCGCAATGCAGCGTAAACTGAACGCAACTCCGGTTTTTTTTTAACAATAATTTTTGTATTTTTGCTTGTTACTCAGAAATTTAAAAAGTTAGAAGGCTGAAATATTCCACATTTACTTTACGAAGCACTCTACCCTTTAGGTGCAAAAATGGAAAAGATCGCCCATACCCACACAAAGTTACAACTGATTACATTTAATCCTCTCACTTTTTTGAAATTAATTAGGCTTATTTATCATAAGGCAAAGAAGACAGAATGTTTAAAACAATTTTGTACATTTCTCAAATGAAGATATATATATATCTGCCTAAAAAAGGGATTAATTTTAAAATGAATATGGTAGATACCGTGATAAATTTTTTCTTAATAATAATAGCGATATAGGTGTCAAATAAGAGCAGTTGGAGAGTAGAATGGGAAAAGCATGGTGATGGGTATGCCAGATTCGATCCCCGCTGAATATAACTTTCTTATTTGTTTTAAATTCAATGTTATAAAATTAATCCACAAGGACCATGTAACCTAACAGGAAAGAACAATTTAACATCATCAGATTGATTTAGTCACCGAAAAAATATGATTGATGAGTGACACCCGACATCGCAAAAAATTTATCAGGGATAACGAAGTTAAAGAGACCTCTTGGTCAGCTATTACGGAGCTTATCTAGTTTATTTTAAGTGCGAGAAGAAATCGCTTTTAAAAATCAATAATTTATGATTAACTAAATTAAGCCCTATTAAAATGTGTGCAGCCGACATCCACCCATAAGATACTAGAGAACGGGTCGAAGAGTGGCATGTAATGAAGGCCTAGAAATACATGATTTAATAATAAAAGCAAATTATTGAGCAAAGGTTCGTTTAAACAGTTCTATTGAAACACTTAACACGATAATGGCTCTGCGGTTCTCAACGAATTGAGAACTTTTCTTTCAAGACGACGGATAGGGAAAGATTGAAAATATTTGAAATATAACATTGCATAGGTTGTCAGCGCAGGAGTTGAGAGATGCCGCAAGCACTAAGCGCACAGCTATACTTCAGCGATCTTAAGCCTTATGAAAAATTGTACTCAGAAATACACAGTAAAGAATCGCAATAGTGTCATTTATATTGTACTGGTAGTTATCATTATATCGTCACAGGAGTTAAAACCGTTAAAACACATTAATATAGGATATACAAAAACGCTTCGTTTCGTTTCTTTTTGTTTTTTTTTTTTTTTTTTGAAATTTACAACTTTATACAACTATTTTCAATGAAGAAGGGAACCAATTTTCCTTTTCGTAGGTATATCGAATAAGCTTGGTGATTGCGATAATGAGTGATGTATAGACTAGTTGAACCTAGAGCCACTTTTCATGTATGTTTTTCGTATTCTGAGATGTTTGCAAAGCTAATGATCTGTCATTACAATATCGACTGTGATTAAATTGTGGATTCAAATCAAACAAATACGTAATTGATAAGCAAAATGCCAAGATGGATTCATATAGCATAAGTTGTTAGTGAGATACTATATAGAAATCCCTGCGTTCTTGTTATTCTCTTCAATCCAAAAATGAATTGATATCATCTCAAGAGTTCCAAGAGTTTATTTCAGTCAATGTTTATATCTACATTAATAATTATTCAAAACTGTCGCAATTATCAACTTCACACTCTTCGCCTTCCTCTTGAAGATGTGTTAACAACAGCTGCCCGTTGGCATGTTCCTTCGTTCTGGATAAACATTTTCTATAATTTCTTTTAGTTTTCGTTTTTTTGATGGTTTGACCGACCACATATTCGGGCATTATTAATTTGGATCCTTTCAATTTGGGTAAATCAACTTCTACATCGGCGACTTCTTTCTCCGCCAAAATCTTTAATTCCCTCTCAATTTTGCTCGACTTTTTAAACTCGATTTTCGTGTTAACGTCGAATTTTTCGTTGTCGCTTTGCTGTAATTCTCGCTGTTTATCCATTTGTTGTAGAAACGCTAATGCAGCCGTTGTGTTTGTATGATCGGATATATCTATATCAGTAAGGGAATATTTTTTCCATTTGTGGGGATTGATCTATGAAAATATCATATATTAGTATTATCCATTAACGTTTAATACTGTGCACAAGCAGTAATTATTTTATGATTGACTTTCTTTTCAATTTTCAACTATCGAAACCCTCGATTGCTTTTATCGCAATCAACAAAAATCTGCTTCCAATTGGATGTTGACGATCCTGCTCTAAATTGATTCAAAATGACCTTGTACCTTCAATTTTATTAATATTTTATAGCAATCATCTACGGCAACCAATATAAAAATACTTGATTGATTATAGAATTTTAGTTTGAAAAGAAATTTAAATTCCTTGGTATACTTCACCTTTTTAGAACAGAGAATGTCTGAGCTTTAGGTTACATTTTTCGACTTGTTTACTTTTCCTTTCTTTACTCGGACAAGTTATTCTATCGGATAGCACCCGTAATAAAGAGCAAAGGATATGGTCTTATACTTACCCGATAGTCGGGAATTTTGCGTGGTTTTAAACATTTGTTAATTGGCAATTCTGGTTTCTTAAAAATACTTTCCTTGCCCCTTAGATGTTTTAAATTTTTTTCGGATGAAATTTCACGAATATTAAGTCCGTTTTTGTATTTAGATAGCAATCTTTTGCTATCCTCAAGTGCCATCAAAGAATTTGTTTGATCCAAAGAAGTTCCCTTGAGCTCATTGCTGGCATCATCAAGGCAGGCAAATAAAGCATTACGCTTTGTAATAAAATCTTGCATTTTGCCTACTCACAAAGTGTATTAAACGCAATTATTGCTTTTGTTAAAGTTCCTTTACTTAGTTTGTATCGTAATGAAATACCATAAAACCCATTTGATTGTAGTCAATTTGTCATATAAATACCAGACATTTTTTTATTTGTGTATGCAATGTTGTTAAAATAAAGAACGTTAATACAGGGTTACTAAAAATAGTAGGATAATGAAATTGTATAAAATGTATGCATTTTTATAAATTTCTAATAGAACTAACACATTGAAGTTGCGTTTAATTGGCAATACACAATAAGACATGTATAAGTTTGTATGGATCAATTTTATATTAATAAGGAAATCATATAAACAAATGCAGAAAAAGAAGAAAAAGTAGAAGAAATAAAAAAATTTATTTTAAATTTATATTAACTGCTTTTTTATTCCAAAATTTCAGGCAATAAGTAACAATAAGCCTATACGAACACAGAATAAGTTTTACGGAAATTTCTGGTAAAATGAATCCACTTCTTTGAACTAAATATATATGTTGTTTGAATTAAGTGTATGAAATGAACACAAGTAAATAAAAAATTATAATTTATGGCATTAAACTGTAGTAGAATTTTTTCGTAATGTTATTTTTTTTAACGTAATTTCCAAGTCTGCAATCAAGCGCTCTATCCGTGTGGATTCCCCTTAGGAATTTATATTCTACGTGTGCTCTTCTTCTTATTATTAACCTAGGCTTAACTTACGAACGTAAAATTTTTAAACTTGGCCACACTATTCAAATTTATATGATAAATTTTCACTACGAAAATTTTACAACTTTTTTAGTCATTCTATTATTGTCTAATCAAGTGAATGCATTGTATTATTGTTAAGTTGCTTTTGTTTCAAAAGAAATTTTAATAATTTTGAATACCAGTCTTAAAATTTTAAAAAGAGGAAGTTCATTTAAGCATTGACGTAAAAGATAAACTGCTTTTGAAAAAATAAGAGAGTAATTTTATTAAAAAAGGGCAGTTTTAAACAGAACAAAGCAAGCTTGAGCATTTTCTTTATTGTATTATAAAAAGACAAAAACAATAAGAGTAAATAAGAGTAAAGATCGCTGCAAAGGAGTTTTACAGCATACACAATTACTTCCGAAACATTGAATGTATGCTAACTTGGTAAAAGCTTGAAAATAATTGTTCTTGAACATTTTTTAAAAAAGATATTGCACGGTCAGTGCAACCATTTACGGATATACGAGTTATACACGTTATAAACTAGTAGATTATGGATGATAAACATCGTGCTAACATAATTGAAAATACAGATAAACTCATAAATCGTACAAAGTATGAGAAACTTGCGCATGCATGTAAAGCTAAGGGTTTGCTCTCTCCGATTATGCTACAGAATTTAGAAAAAATTGAACCGGACATGTGCGTAAATTGGTCAGAAGATGAGAAACAATATGAACGCCATAAAAGGTTGTTCATTAAAATCACTAAACGTGGACCGACAGCTTATCAAGAGTTGCGAATGATTTTGGCTGACTTAAAATACGACAGTGCATTGTGTGTTCTCAATGCTCTGGACGATGACTCACGTATGCGTTCCATACAAAAACGTGAAGACCAAAAATACGAACGGCAATTGTCTGGTATAAGAGAGTGCGAAACGCTGATTACAACAAATGGCAATAACAACAATAACAGCAATGATATGCATTGTATAGATCGCAGTGATGGTGCCAAAAAGGTAATAATCATAGCATTGAAGTTTTCAACAACTGTTTTCATTTTTCTTTTTTTTTTTTCGTTACAAAAAAGCGAACATGTTTTCTTTTCACTTACAATATATAAAATACAAGTTTTATTGTTTCGTTTATAATACGCGGAAAAAGTACACCAAACACCCCACGAAAAAATTTAAGTTTAACAAATGCATTTTCGGCTTAGATCGGAAATTTCAAATTGCCTTCAAATTTATCAAAGAAAATTGGCGTTGTATTGGATGCCAGACCCATAATAAAAATAAAATCTTTGCATGATTTTAATATATTTGAATGATTTGAAAACAACAGCTAGCTCATGGTTATAACACACTTATTGTTTATTTTGATGTTAATTTCTCTAACAGCGACACAAATTAATGAGGAAATAATATTTTTTATTTTTGCCTTCCAGGAATTAAATATTAACAAAAGCAATTGTTCAAATGAAATAATGCTTGAAGAATTTACAGATGAAATTTACCCAAAGATGAGATTGGACGTAAAAAAATCAACGGCTGTTCACACACATCCAAAATTAGGCACATATCCGATGCAAAGTCAATATAATCGTGGTGTATTTTTTATGGTGAATATTATTGATTTCTTAAGTAACGATGAGCCACGACGTGGAGCTGAAGGCGATGCCGAATCGCTGCTATACCTGTTCCGCGAATTAGGTTTCAAGTTGTTTTCTTACACCAATATCAGTCAATCCGACTTTTTCAAATTGTTAGATGCACTCTTAAATTCGAAATACACAACCAACACAGAATGCTTCGTTATGGCTTTGATGACTCATGGGACCAGAGATGATGATGGTTTTGAACGTGTAACATTCCATGATGGTTCCATTGTTAAAGTAGAAGATATTGAGAGATATTTTCATAATCACATTTGCCGAAATTTGCAAAACAAGCCAAAAATTTTTATATTTCCTTTTTGCCGTGGGAATATTGCTGATATGGGAATAAAAGGAAAAATTCAAACAGATTCAGTTAGCTACATTAGTGGCAATGCAAAAACTAATATACCTCAACTATCCGATGTGTTCATATGCTATGCCGCTTCGCCTGGTTTTAAATCCCATAGAGATGTGGAAGCCGGATCTTGGTATATACAGAAATTTGTGGAAATGATGGCTGCTAATGCTCACGACACCTCTTTCGAAGAGATTGTGAAAATGATACAAGCAGAAACCTCAAAACTGCGTACAGTAGATGGACACTTGCAAACCGCCAACTCAGTAAATATGGGCTTCAACAAAGCATTATTCTTCAATCCAGGGGTTTGGTTGGACTGAATGCATTTAAACACAAATTTAAACACTTCGCAGTGCTGCCATGACTTTCAATTTTCTTATTTTATTTTAGATGTAACAACAATTGTGATTATACGATATTTTATCATGTATTATAGGAAAATGACACAACATTTTTTAATATGTAAAAGTAGAGATTTTAAGCAGTCTTTTGTGCCGTACAGTAAAAGAAAGACAATGAATTTTAATCTTACGAATTTATAAAACAGTTTATAATTTTTTCGTCCGCTCGGGTTTGTTTCAATTGATCCATCGGGGAGCGACTTTTAAATATGCCGAAATTGAAACCTAGTTCGGGTATGGTTTCATTGGCGAGATTTTGTTGATGGGCCTCGGCCATATGAAGTTTCATCTTTCCCTACTTTCATCGCTGAAAGCATTCCTACAACGCATGACGGACGTGCAGATGGATACGATTAATAAAATTTATGTGTTCCAAACTAAAGGGTATAAAGACATTACGCTTCCTACGCGTGTTTTGTTTGCCTGTACAAAATTGTGAATATTTTTTTTTGTTGATAATGATATATATCTTTGTTGAAACGCTTTAAGAAAGGAACACTAAATTTTTCCAATATTTGAACACAATTTGAATGGATTTAAACTAGATGGCAGATCATCAGGATTGGTGGCGGATAAGCAAGATTCTAACTGTTCTCTTAAGTCGCAAGTGTCTCTATCTCCTTCCTCGGTATTGGCTTCGTTGATTAGGTTCTATTCAAATCAAAAAATATAGATAAGAAATTTTTACTCACTTTGGGGTAAAACGTCAGATAAATTATTGCTCAGTTTTTTTATAATAAATTTCTGAATCATCGGCAATTTTATGCGACATCTGTTGTATCGTATAACTGCCCTGCATATATATATATATCGAACGAAAATATATATGTTTGCAATTTTAGATGGAAATCTTTTAAAGAGTTATTGTCTGGATGTATCTCACTAGCGTATAAACGCTTGTATTAAATAATTGTAGATATAAATACATATGTAATATTATTATATGTAAGTGTACATTTAAGCAGAATAAACAGTTCAAGAGTTATTAAAATCTCGCTCGCGAATTATTGTGACTTTTGGATAAGGACTTTGCTTTACGTTTTTGACGCAAACGTTTCAGCTTTTTTCTTGTTTTGCAATCATCCGGTAAAGTTCCTTTTCATCGCTGGACAAGTTTCTCTATGCATGAGCCTCATCTCGACGGTATTTATATAGTTTCGGTACAACTTCGCAGCAGAAATTTCATCACACCACTAATTGCTTCAATAATTTTTCCCAAATTGAAGACATAGATAAACTCGTTTAAAATTTAATTTTTTGGTATTAAATACAATATTGTTTTACTTTTAAAAGAAAAATACTGAATTACCTTGAAATTAAAAAATGTTAAAAATCACTAGAACACAAAATTCCCTTTAAATTGCGAATTTCAAAAAGCACGAATAGAAAATATAAAATTTATGAATATAAAATTCCCTTAAAAATTGAAAAATTTTAAAAGTCACTACCAAGAGAAAATTTATTTGTCACATTTGAAACATTGATTACTACTAAAAGAAAATAATAGATATAAAGTGAAAAAAAAAAAATTCTAATATATCTACATAGACATTTTAATAAATATAAACATATGTGTGTATATATATGTGCAAGAATTTATGTTTCTAGCAAATTTGAAGTCGATAGCTTTATTTGTGCGGACAGGAGAATGTTTTCAACGGACATTACACAGGCGAACGGACGCATATGCTTAAATCGGTTAAGAATTTTATGCTGATCAAGAATATTATACTCTGTGGGGTCTTTGATGCTTTCTTCTGGGCGTTGCAAACATTTTAACTGAATATACCGCTGATCCTCCGGCGACGAGTAGAAGCAAACGGACGCCAGACGGATGCATCAATTCTTAATCCCAATTAATTAGGAAAACATTTTGTAAAGGTTGGGCTTTGGTCTCTCTAAGTAGTAGACTAACAATAGAAGAGTACACCTGTTACCTGTGGTGATTACAAAATTTGCAACTTACCTCAAATTCGTCGATTAGAAACGCACTTGATGCGGAATCAAGCCGTGGTTGCGGTAATCCAAAAAGAGAATTGCTCAGGAACGTGTAAATTGCCCTAAAATTGAACATAGATGCAAACGGATTCTTTAAGATATTTAGTTATAAACTTACTTTAAATCAATACCGTTTAACTCTGCCGGGTGAGGATAACTTTCATTATTTGCTATAGCATTCAAAACAACACCTAATTCATAGTGGCAATGTTCGGGAGCTTTAATTTTTTTCAAATATTCCAACCAAGCGGTTATGTTTTGAAAGCTTAAAGAGTCACACTCCTGATAAACATAATCTTCTGCCTCTTTTACACTGCTATTTAGTTGTCCTAAAGGAAAAAGAATACCTCTTATCAAGAGCTTGGGTTATCTCCGTTTTCTCTTACTTAATAGTTCTTCTTTAGGCACCTTAAAATTACGTATAGCACTTAACAGATTTTCAACATCACATCCACAGTTTATCATATGCTCCAGAACCATGTGTTTATGGTATTGATTTAGTAGCGGGCGTTTTCGCTTACTTTTTGGAATACACCCATTTGCTGGTAAAGGATTGTCTATTGTTTCCACCTTGTTCTGGTGAATTGATTCTGTTTGACTGATTGTATTACAATTTGCAATTTCGTCACATTCACCATTACTAAGCTCGATTTTTATATCATCCATCATTAATAATTGGCAACTTATTCTTATATACAATCGCAACCACAGATTGCTATTAAAACATAGCGTCTCGAATTTTTTTTTCTTCTGTTATGACTTTTAAAAAATGGCATTTTTTGACTAAACAAATGGTACAGCCGTTGAAGCGAGACAACTATATATTTAGCTGAAAATGTTTTCAAAAAATACGGCATAAAGACATGACATTTCTTTATAGGTGTAAACACTGGAACAAGTTTAGTCGTTGTCGCTTCCTTTAACGCAACAAAAAAAGTCAAAGCGTTTTTCTGCAATTTTGCTTACACTTCAAAGGATTCAAGAGAATCAACTCTTGATAGGTTCCGTATACCATAAGGTAAGGTAAGTTTGTGCAGATATACATAACGGCAAATGGACTTAAGCTGCATTATACCTCTCTATGGCACTTGTGATCAACATTTATATCACTGCTTTTGAGATGTATCGACGAAATTTTATGCAATGCAAAACTTTTGTCCCAAAAGCGAACCTTTGCGCAAATCGATTTTACGTCCATTCTCCATATAAAGACATATTTTGAAAAAAAGTTTTCAACGAAAATCGCGAAGTAATTTTATTTTGATATGCCAAATCCATTCAAAAGATTTGGATCGGGTCAGTGACTTGTATATGTATGACTAATATGACAGACATCTCTATCCATCTTTGGATGAAAAGTGGTCCAAAAGATTATTTTAATGTAGAATTCGATTTTTCTTTTAATATGTTCATGAAAAGGTCTAAATCATGTTGTTTTTGCTATTATTGGTGGATGGGCGCACAACTTTTTCTAGTTCGTCTCAAAATTTTTCGTTCTAGAGAATTATCACCGCACAAAAACGCACTTCCAATTCACATTTCCGCCTACATTTTATTTAAAAAATTATCTTTTGAACACTTCGCAAATAAGAAAAATTATTTAGTTTCCCTTCTAGAGCGTCTGTTCTTATCCATCCATATTTTCCGGTTACATTTTTGTCTACATTGCCCGCTAACAAGGAAGCTCGATAAAAGAACACCTTAGCTCCTATAGTTTGATCTCGCATAGTTATGGGATATTTGTATTTGTGAAAACCGCAAGGCGCATTTCCATAAAAGCACACTTTCATTTGATTACCGCATTTCTCACGCAACACGCGTTCGGCAGCTTGTCTCATAGTTTCGCCCTCAACCCGTGGACCCTGAGGTAAAAGAAAGTATTCATCTTTACCCAGTTTTTGGCTAATCAATAAATATAACGTGTCCTCCAAACAGCGATTTGTCGACGTCTCGTTATTGGCTTTGTCATCAATCGTCTTACGGGAGGCCAATTTAAATTGTTTGAATTCTTCCGTGTAAGCATCTTTTAAATCTTGCGCCGTTTGCTTAGCGACGATTTCATCTAAATCTAATCCTACATTGCCTTCTTTCAAAAGTTCGGCCTGCTTTAGATCACGTTCATGTTGCACTTCATGATTAGACTTTAAACTTTTTTCGAATTCTACCCGCAATAAGTATTCTTTGAATTCTTTTTCGAGAGCATTTAATTCTTTGGAGACGACGGGCAAACGCTCGACGAGGACACCGGCATATAAATTCCATTTTTCTGCAGTGCTTAAGTTTAAAGATAAGTACCGAGTTGCAAGTTTTACATTACAATGCAAACCATTGATTAATGATAAAGTGGCCGTACGGTACATTTGTTGTGAATGATAAATCTCAATTTAGTAAAATTGTTAAATAATACTTATTTACGCTTGGTAAAAGATAACCTTAAAGAAAGAATTGTAGAGACGCAATGGAATGTGTATATGAAACAGTCTGAACAAAAAGAACTAATAGGAAAAGAAATTAATTGTATTCTTATCACTATGAACATATTTTTCATAATTAAAAAGAATAGTCGGAATAATTTTCCCTTATTTAATATGGCATATTTGCATACACATATAATTAACATATTTTATACAATTTTTTACACCAATCTTGAAGTGTTACATAAGACGTCTTCCCGTGTGTATAATTAGAATCAATAAATATGCGAATATTTACTTAAGGTATAAAAGACTCATCCTCAACTCTTACATAAATTAAGTGTCAGGAAATAAGTTTTTAATGATATTTTGGACGTAATGAAGGATTGGTTTACCATGGACGGCGATTGCTGTGAACATGCATGCCACTCACTGGACGTAAAATTTAGAATTGTAGATCCAATTTAGAAACACAAATTGCATGTTTGAATTTTTTCATACCATAGCGTACGTCCACTTAAAAAATATGACACACCTTTGATTTGCGACAGTGTGTCATGTCAAGGAACTTTTAACTTATTTTTGCCCATGCAAATGACAAGTATGTAAGACCAAGCAATCAAATAGCAGATACGAAGCCATTTCTGTTATGTTAACACAGGTCATAAAAATATATGAAGTTTCTTTTATATATATGCAATCTGGTTCTAAGTGAACATGGTTTTTCTTGTTACTACCTTTCTCACTGTCCAGAAAACCTGACTCAAGGTTCGAGTTTAATTTTTGTGAAAAATCTATATATGTCTATATTACCCTTAATGTTGCACTCCGTTTCGTTCCTCCACGCGAATAATTTGTTATTATGTGGGAATACTTTTCTAGATATTTTGGTATTGTGTATGTAGTTATAAAACAACGCTGTTGTGCGTGGTACCTTGTTTTTTGCTATTTTTGTGCTGACAAACAGCTGTTATTATTTCATAGCCGGTTTTAAGTAACTTAGTATTTTTTTTTTTGAGTTTTATGAAATACTTCTTGGGAAAGATAGATGGTTTTTTTGTCAATCATAAATAAGGTATTTATTAATGCAATCGCAAGAGAATCGTTAAAGTAGATCATGGTTGGAATTGCAAGTTAAAATTAATATAATTTAAATGAAATAAAGTTAATCCATGTGCTTCTACCTGTTTAAAAAAATTAGAGTTCCAAGTTGTCGGACAGAATTTGCTGTCTTTTATATTGCAATCCTTTTTATGTATTTGTGTTCAGTGAGAATGTTTATTGAGGATTACGTTATAGATGTGTAATTCTTAGGATGAAACAGCATTGTAATGCTATATTTAAAATGCCTGCGGATATTTCTTAAGCTTACAGCATTTACACTTATGAATAGTGTAACTTTTAGTTTTTTCAAATCCCCGATACTTGTGTTTTGTTGTTTAAATAAAAATTAATTCAATTTTACCAAACAAGTGAGAATGTACATAAAGTTTAAATTACATAAATCATAAATATGTTTTATCCTTTTAACTTTTTTACTACATCGGTTGTGTTGACAAAATCTGGATTTGTTGAAACACTTAACATAATAGCATCTTTTTTCATCGTTACTCTCATTGTGATGGAACTATTAATGTCAATACAGCCGTTTTCGTTTGCTTTCTTTCATTGCCAGCTCTGTTTAAACATTGCTCTCTATAAAAAGCAGAAGAAGAATAATTCAACAGCTGTTTTAGGGTTTTGTTTTTGCTTTCGATGTGTGATTGATGTGATGATTTTTCTATTTAGTTTTTGCTTAATATGCACATAAAGATAATAAGAATTATTACGAGTCTAAGTGCCTCTTGATTTTGTTTATAATTTACTTTAATCTGAATATAAATGTATATGTACTTACATGTACATATATATGTATATATTTCTATATATATGCATGTGTATATATACACGTGGGGATTGTGATAATGATAATGTCTGTAGCTACGACACTCGCTTTGATTTTTACTGTTTTTGCCTCCATTTGTATTGTTGCTGCGATTATTTTGTTAGGTAAGCTCGATGTTCAACAATTTGCTACGTATGTTAGGAATATTTTTAAGTTAATTTGCTACTAAAGTCTACGGATGATTACTAAGTCCTAACATTATGCTGGAATATATTGCAAGCAGATGAAATAAATAATAGGGTTTGGAATTTTTGGAATATGCTTCAATTTTGTTTATTTTCTTATAATAAAGAAATATTTTTCGTTTTCATATTTTAAGGTTGGTTCTTAATTTGGAAAACATTTCTATCAAAATTCCGTTTGGTACGTGAATTGTTGGGCCATTCGAACAGTGAAGAATCTGAACCTACTGTTGGTGAGAGTAACTTAAGTTCAGCCGCTCAATCTCATCTTAAGGCAAGAAAATTGCGTAAAGATTAGTAATACTCGCATAACAAGCGGAACACATTTATAAATACCATCAGGTACACAGTTATCTAAAAATAAAATATGAATATACGTTGTGCAAAGCCAGAAGATTTAATGACAATGCAGCATTGTAATCTGCTGTGCTTACCTGAGAACTATCAAATGAAATACTATTTTTATCATGGACTTACTTGGCCACAACTGAGTTATGTGGCTGAAGATGACAAGGGCAACATAGTAGGCTACGTGTTGGCTAAAATGGAAGAACCTGAATCGGGTGAGGATAGCAAACGTGGCCATATTACATCGTTGGCGGTTAAACGGTCTTATCGCCGTTTGGGTTTAGCGCAGAAATTAATGAATCAAGCATCCCAAGCCATGGTGGAATGTTTCGATGCTCAATATGTTTCATTGCATGTACGTAAAAGTAATCGTGCCGCTTTAAATTTGTACACGAATACTCTAAAATTTAAAATTATCGAAATTGAACCAAAATATTACGCCGACGGGGAGGATGCTTATTGCATGCGCCGTGATTTAAGTGAGTTTGGCAAACCAACGAATGTTAACAAACCTATCGACAACGATGAAAGTCAGGGTGACAGTGACAGAGTTAATTATCGTGTTCAAGCTGGCGTAATTACCCACGACCATAGCGGTCACGATGGCCATTGCTGTTAAGTGCCGTTATCCAAATTTATTATTATACTATCGGCTAGATCATCCGCTGCATTTTTATCACACCTTTTTGCGAATATCCTATAATTTTTCTATTCCATTCTATGAATATATATTTATGTATATATATGTATAATACCATATATACTAGAAAAAAGTCTAATAAAAACATTAAGGGCACTAATTGACAAAGAAAACTATCTATACATTTATGTTTTGGCGCTATTAAGCATATATCATAGTTTGCCAACGGTTTTTAATTCTTGAAATTATGTACGTAGTTACATGGCACGTCTTCTACTGTTAACCGCTTTCAGTGAGAATTTTTCCGGTTAAAAAGGTTACCTACCGCTTTGCTTTTCTTATGCAATGTTAGTAACTTAAAGTACTTTCAACAATCTACGTATTTACAATCAGTTGACAGTCTTTTTTTGCATGCGTTTAATTTTTGTACCGCATACAAATTGTGGTATAGGAGCACATTCAGTTCGGGTTGGATACATGCGGCGCCCCAAAAGGACTTCAGAGAGATCCCCCTTTTATTATACCGATTGATTCTGAATCGATGTAGGCTTGCCTGTCCTCTTGTCTGCCCTTTTTTTATAGTTTTTCAGATATTTTCATGAAATTTGGGACACTGACTTCTTTTGGTCCAACGATAAATTCTATTGAAAATGCAGTGGGTCGGATCGGACCGCTTTTTTGCTTAAAAAGTCGTAGCATGAATATCTAAAGATTCAGTTTACGTAGGAACGGTTATATGGCAAAGAGTTGAAAAAATTGACCCGTCCGATCCAAAGTTTTCACAGCAATTTAAAATGCCAAAATACTATTACTCAGCGAGTTTTGTCGCGAAATTATAAAAATTACAACATTTTTTCTTATAACTTTAGACGGACGGAAGGACATTTTATGAATCGTGTCTAATAAAAAGGGGGTCTATTTAAAGACTTTCTGAGCGTTGCAAGCGTCCGTACAAACTCAATATATTCTGCAGCACCAGTTGTGTAGGGTATATCAAAAGAAATCTACTAAAGACTCGCAATTTGAATGAAGTTATATTAGGTGTGACCTAGCGTTTCGTGTACATGTGCAACATCTAAAGCGCTCCTAACAAATGTTAGTTTACGATTTTAACACCATATCTAGGTGTCTGAGAGGTGTCAGAAGACACCATTCAAATCGTAGCTTAGCATTATTCTCCAAAAATCCAAAAATATTTTTGGATTTTAGTGCAACAGTTGTTAAATTAATTCAGCGGTATCATTCTCCTCCAGCTCATCGTGGATCTAAAAATGTGCATACGGTATACGTATTGCTTTCTTTTGCCAACCTAAGGATTTCATAATGGTATCTAATTTCAAACCGTTTTCCATATAAATATCAATACAATTTTGCAGCATCATATCATTTGTAATCTGATTAGGGAATCCCGAAGTGACTCGTTCTAAAACAATTGGATAACGTATTTTGGTTTCCGATCCCGGCAGTGAATTCAGTACACGTGAGTTTTGTTTTCATTCGTAAAAAATTTGAAAAACACATTATTGGAATTATCATTGCAGTTAAGCAAAACTATTTATTTCTAAAATTATACTAAGGACGTCCCGATTTTCATGAAAGACAAAGTTATTGCAAAAAATAAATAGCATAAGGAAAGAATGCTCTGAAATTGATGATAGCTCACAAACTGAAAATGAAGATGCGTTGAATGATTCTTTCGAAAATGACGACGAATTCGATAGCGATTATCAAAATTACTCATCTATCGCTTATGAACAGGAATATAATTTGAACGCAGGTAGAGGACGAAAGAGAATGAGATTGTTGGCCGATTCTGAAGACGAGAGTCAAGAAAGCAATGCTCCTGTTGATGGAACAGTTTGGAAAAAGATCGAATCAAGTTCCTTTTCTGGCAGGTCACCGTTTCGCATGTGTGCGGAGCATGTAAACAAAAAAAAATATTAATGGGATCATATTTACGGGATAGAAATGTGGTCCTTCATTTTTTTCGAATGTCATGAGCCGAAATTGCTTCATGGGAAGCGCTACGATTTTGGGGTTTTGATAATAAACGTTTGGGGAAAAATTAATTCGCTTCAGTATCAAGAGCATGGAACGCATCGATGGAAAACAATCAAAAGTGTTACAAGCCAGGTGCAAATATCACAGTGGATGAACAGCTTTTCCCAGCGAAAGTTAGATGTATGTTCACCACATACGTGCCGTATAAGCCCGATAAATATGGTATCAAATTTTGCTTGACATCTGATATGAAAAGCAAATATGTTATACGTGAGTTTCCCTCCTTAGGGGAAGATGATATGAGACCGCTATCTATTTCATTGGTTGAATAGTCGGTTGTTTCGAAGTTGGTTGAATCATTTATTGGCTGCGGCAGAACCGTTGCAACCGACAATTTGTTGACAAGTTCTTGCCTTTCAGCAAAGCTTTTGCAAAAAACAACGTCTTTAGTTGGAACCATCGCTTAAAGTAAGAAAGAACTGCCAAAATCTGCAAAAATACAACAGAATGAAATAGAATGCTTTACAGCAAGCAGCAATTTTATGTTTACGATTGACTGTACTCTAAAAAGTTCTTCTGCTAAGTTCAAGACGTAAAAAAAAAACGATGAACGTCTTCCAAAAACCATTAAATTTTACAATAGCACAAAATTCGTGGTCGATATGGCCAACCAAATGACGAGAAAGTATACGGTGAAATGTAAATGCCTTGGATGGTTTACGCATGTAGTTTACAGCATTCTTAATTTAGCATAGGTTCTGTGCAGAAAAAAAACGATAGGTGAATACTTTTCAGTGAAAGATTTTTTATTCCAGTTAGAAGAAGAAGAACTTACAGAGAATGTAAAAACATCTAGAACGTTCATAAGTCTCAAGTAAAACCACACCCTTTCCAAGAAGATAAAGAAAGTGCCAAATAAAGTATCGCTCAGGTAATAGAGCAATGGGAACGTGCTTGCGGTGCGAAAAGTATATGCGTGGAAAGTACTTAGTAGAGCAACAATTCAAAAAGTGGTGGAAATAGTGTTAAAGGAAGATCTCCTCTTTTTTCGCGTGGATGAATTAATTTCTAGAGTCAGATAATCTTTTCAATTCCAAAATATGTAGTCAAGTCAAAGGTATTGGAAACGCCTCTGGAATTGGTCTTTTTTATTTCCGATTTCGAATATCTAAATATTCCGCGATCTTAACGTGATGATCCGAATGTGCCAGTTTTGGCGCTCGCGACCGCCATTTGGCTTCACAACTAAAATCAGATTGAAGCGTATTTTTTTTTTTTTTTAATGGAGTTAAAGCAATTTGTATTTACCATAGCAGAAGTCGTTGTGATGTGTTTTGCATTGTTGTTCCAGTCGCTGAAGCTATCATTTGCCAAGACCAAGAAGCACTCGAGAACAATTGCAATATTATGTGTTAAATCCAGGATGGGATAAATTCAGCATATCGACTGCAGATGGGAAACTTATGGCATAAATTAGAGCCGCAGAGTCTACCGAAGCAGAAGCCCGTAAAGATAAGAAGAAGTACATATTGCTATATCGATGGGCAGCCAAATTTACAAAAAGTTCAGTAATCAATTTGAAAGACTGGATTCATTGAAATACAAAAGCATTATATAAGTTCATCATTCATTTTACGGGTCCGGAAGGCACTTCTGATTGACATTTGGATCGAATTTTTTTTCCATTATATTGTTTGGACATTGGCATTATTTATCGAGCATAATACATATACAGTTGTATAGAGCGTGCGGAAATTCTTAAAACTGTTTTGTCACGTTTCGTGGATGTGCGATGAAATTCATATTTAGTTCAAGGACTTTGTAAAAATGACGATTATTGCCTTTTTGGTGTAAGGAAAACAAGTCTGATATTTCTTAAGGGACCTTTACGTGCATAAAAATACATTTTTGGCAACCTTTGCTATTAATTTTTTAATATGAAATCTACGAAAATACGTTAACTGATCTTTTTTTGGCCCCCATCAGATAATGTCGACTTTGAAGATATGTGGTTTCGAGAAAATGTGGCAACATATCGTGCATTTCATGGCAAAGTCAATTTGTTAAGAGAAAATTCCAATGATTCTTGTAATATCCAAAAATGCTTATGTGAGCTTAGGAGGTAAAGATTGCCATTCGAATAACGAAAGTCCAGAGACGGTCATTCGCATCGGAGATTTTAAAATAAGAAAAAATCTCATGTTTACTTTTCATTACAAATTGTTAAAAGAAACAAATAAGAAAGTTATATTCGGCTGGGGTCGAATCTCCCCATACCCACCATCACCATGCTTTTCGCATTCTTCTCTCCCAGTTCTTTTATTTGACACCCATTTCGCTTGTATTATTAAGAAAAAATTAATCGCGGCGTCTGCAATATTCATTTCAGAATTAACCGATTTTTAGTCAGATAATATATCTTGTTTTAAACATTCTGTCTTCATTGCCTTATGATAAATAAGCCAAAATTTTGAATAAAGTGAGAGGAATAAATGTTATCAGTTGTAACTGTGTGTGGCTATGGGGTATCTTTTCTATTTTTGCGCGTAAAGGGTAGAGTGCTTCGTAAAGTAAATGTGGAAAATTTCATCTTTCTAACTTTAATAATTTCCAAGTAATGAGCCCCTACAAATTTTGGTTAAAAAAAAAAAAAAAAAAAATGGAATTGCGTTCAATTTATGCTCCACTGCGGGCTTCTGCTCTGACCAATTTTGTTCATTTTCAACACCAATTTACGTGCAAAAGCTTTCATTCCTTCTACCTGATTTGAAAGCGGTATCCGCTTTTTAACAAGCTGCCAAGGCTGCCAACAACAAACAACATAAAGACGGACAGACGTCGCTTAGTCAATTCAGAATTTCACGCTGATCAAAAAGAACTTTATAGGGTGTCTGAAGCTTTTTTTTGAGCGTTACATACATTGTGAGAAAAGAACAAAAATGCGCATAACCCCATCCTTCAGTGCATAGGGCCTAAGAGCACGAAAGACAATAAAAGCGGATTTTTTACTTTACTTTTTTGTCCGCTTCGAAGTAATTAATAATCCTCACACACTCAGTACACTTGTGCCACTGCTATTTCCAATTCTCGTAGCATTTCCAATATCCGGGTT